GTTCTCGGGATTCTAGAACACTCTATCCCCTAAGCGCTCAGCACGGTGCTGGGCACAGGACGAAAGCCTCAGTGAACAGTAGCTCTGCTTCTCCTCTTACTCCTCCCTCTGCCGGGGCAGACATCACCAACTGACCACAGCTTTCTTTCCCGCAGAGCCCACTTCGGGCCCCCAAACCTGTCTCAAGACAGCACTCCCCCAGGTTTGCACGGAGAGCAACCCCACGTCGGCTCTGCGCAACCACGCTCTAGGGAAACAAATGAATACTTCCGACCCCGAAGCCCGTGGTGTCCCCCACCTGGGAGGGAGCGGCAAGGTTAGGAGACAGGCGTGGGGAAGGCTTGTGCGGGAAGGAGCTGAGAAGCTGAGATTAGCCAGGGAGGTGGGGAGAAAAAGAAATGCCAACAGCATCTCACCCCTCTTGCTCTTGGCCCGGAGCTCTCCGGAGAGCATGAGCAGGGTGACTGGGAGTCGGGTCTGCTCAGGGTCTGGCTGTCCCCATGCAGCCCTGGTCCCTCGGGCCACTGAGTAGGGCTGATAATCCTGCTAGGCCCAGGGCTTCAGAGGCTGGCCTTAGGCTGGGGGAAAGGTAGAGGGGGCAAGGCAAAGGGCAAGCAAGCCCCCCCGCCCCCCCCCGCCCACGGATCTGGAATCTGTTGCCTGCCACAGAGCCCGCCCACTGCCCAGCAGTGCCTTCCCACCCCTGCAGAAAGCCCCGCTGCAATGCCTGCTTTATGGTCTCTGCCAAATGAAGCACAAACTTAACTACATCGCCCCCCCGACAGGACAGGGGAGAGGGTTGGGGGTGGCACACTGGGCTGCTTCAGCCCCCTCATCTAATCACTGGCGTGGGTCATTTCAATTACGGACACCAGAGTGTGGTGGGGGGCCTGGCTGCTCATAAAAGCCTCCATGCTGTTGCTCAGCTAATTATGAAGCTCTTACCGTCTCAGCAGGTAAATAACTCAGGACTGAAAGGTTCGGGCTGCTGAGATGGAGTGTGAGCCGGGGAACAGCACGGGGAGATGCCTGGGATGAGCCCCAGGGCACAGATGGGGTTGCAGGGAGGGAGGCACAGCCGTCCTGGAGGGAACAGGGGAACTGGGTCCCTGCCCTGAGATGATTATCCAACATCCCGGAATTGGTGGAGGAATTCCCTACCTTAAACACAAGATCTGAAGTTTACTAAAAGCCTCAGAGCCACCCTATAACATAAAAATTTTAGGTCCATCTCCTTTTGCTAATCTCGCCTTTCCATGTATATTTAGATCCGTGAGAAGTGAGCACCCCCCGCCCCCCGCCGCCCTGGAAGCCAGGGGTCATACCATGCTGCCTGTCTCCAGGGCTGGAGCTGTGATTGCTTTGGTTTGCTTCCTGGTCTGACCTGTCCAGGCTCAAAGCTGGACCCCAGAGGCTGGCTGGGTCCTCGAGATGTAAGGGTGAGGGGCTCAGCTTCCTTAACCACAAGAGCTCCTCCCCTCTAGGACAGGCAGGGAGGCAGAGGGGGAACCTGTCGAGAGGGGAGGGAGACCCTCCACCACCTAGTCACTGGCCGCACACGAGGCCCCACAGGCTACCGGAGACCACGGCAGCGGTGCCTGGAAGATATTCTGAGATGTAATGACATATAAAATGGAGGGCTGCCTGTCTAGCCCGGGGCTGTGCTTCACTAAGTCTTTATTTGAGACGTCAGTGAAGTCCCCAGAACTGGAGCTGTGATTTCTTGGTGAGTTCTGAAACTACCTTAGATTCTGGGAAACAGCAGATGGTCGGAGCATTCACTGGTGGGAGAATCCCATTTTTGCTCTGTTCCTCAGTTTCCTTCCTCTATGAAACAGGAATCGTGAAACTTATAAACATTTGGAGGAGCCGAGCTAAAGCTGCTCTGTAAATAAGGGCTGCTGGCACCCTCTCTTCCTCCCTCCCACTGCACAGGGACTCTGTGCCACTGATGTTTGTTAATGTTGGCCTTGCTTTGGGACGCAGAGCTGAGCCTGGGGCTTCGAATGAATCCCTGGCCGCCACGTTGAGATCAGGGGCACTTGGTGCTTGGACAGAGGTGGTCCACCCTGGGGCCCAGCTTAGCGGCCAGGCTTCACTCCTCTTAGAGGCAGACATAAAGAACCTGGAGATGTTCTCCAGGGAGGTAGCGAAAGTGGGCCACATGGAAAGTGGAACGGGAAGGGCCTTGGGCAGCATCCCCACCCAAGTCCCCCAGGAGAAGGCACGGGATGGCTTCGGTCCTTGGCCGGTGGATCCTGGAATAAAGGCACTTGTGGGGAGAACCAGAGCCCATACCTGGATTCTGATAGAGGTAGTGGAAGAAGGAAGACTTCAGACTAGAATCCCATCTGTTGATAGCAGGCAGGTCTTATTTTTTTTTTTTTTAAGATTTTATTTATTTGACAGAGAGAGACACGGTGAGAGAGGGAACACAAGCAGGGGGAGTGGGAGAGGGAGAAGCAGGCTTCCCGCTGAGCGGAGAGCCTGATGCAGGGCTCGATCCCAGGACCCTGGGACCATGACCTGAGCCGAAGGCAGACGCCTAAACGACTGAGCCACCCAGGCGCCCCAGGCAGGTCTTATTTTTATTTGGTGATGTATTATCTACTTTTCAAAGTACTGTTAAATACCTTGCTTCATTCCGATCCTCAAAGTTCTGCGATTTGGTAGAGTAAGTATGAGCAACCCCAATGCCAAACAGGGTAACTGAAGCTCTGAGACATTAAGCTCAAGGTCCCCTGGCTAGATAGTGATGGAGCCAGGACCCAAACCAGGTGCCTTCTCCGAGGACAGCGGGAGAGGAAGGTGACTCCGCAAGGGCGAGTTCATGGCAGGCCTTTTCCCCTCTAATAACCAAGGAAGTGAAGAGATCTCTAGGGATCAACGCAGAGGCTCACTGAGCAGGTGGAGACAGAGGAGGCCAGGAGCAGAACGGAGGGAGTGAGGAGGGAAACAGGTGGAGGGTTGCATGGACACTTCCCGTTCACAAACTTCTTAGGTTCCTCATTTCATTAACAGCAGCAGTGGAATTTCATGGACAATTGGTGTTGAGCACTAACTGGGAGGTAATGAGAGAGGGAGGATGCAGGTAAAGGCTGTTTGAATTTAAATTCTTTTTCTTTAGGGGGGGGGGGGGGGGGGTTTTTTTAAAGGCAATTTTAGCACTGCAAAAAGTTTCTAGCAAACAGCTTTGGACTTTTATGTCCTCTGCCAGTAGCATTAGGAGTGCTGATTCTCGCTCAGCCTACTGTGGTCTACACAGCAAGCTCCCGATGGCTACCCTGACAGAGGGCAGAGCGACGCCGAAGCACCAGGAATCTGACCTCGGGTAGACTCTCCTCTCAGACCTGGGAAGACACAGGACACCTGTGTCCAACCGCAGCGGTGAGCTGGGACGAGCTGTTCTACAACAGCAACTGCAGGGGTGCCTCGAGCAAAACTCTGTGTGGACCTGGGCAGAGATGGCGGAGAAACCAAAACAGGAAACAGGGGGGCTCCTGTTGATGCAAGTGATGCACATACACACATACACACCCCACAACACACACACCTACGTACATAACCCACACACACACGTACACACACACACACACACAGGAGGCTATAAAACGTTCAAAGGGGGAAGGGTCTAGAATAAGGTAAAACTAAACCTAGAGACAAGGGGACAGAGTCACGAGCTGATTGGGTGAAGAAGGTGGGGGAAGGCTGTTTTGAGCAGGGGCCTTGGATGGAGTGGCACACAGATCTGGTGACACAAAATATGTCAGCTAGGTGTAGAGTCTGGGACGGAATGGCAAGCAGGTGAGCTTGCCTAGACGAAGCCTCCATAAAAAGAAGCACTGCGAAATGAAGAAAGTCAAAATAAGAGGAAGGAAAATTTGTGGAAGACCTGAACTCTAACCTTCGACTTCAGGTGATGGGGCCATGGGAACTGCCGTAAGGTAAGCCAGTCAGTAGAGGTTCGGCTCCTGGAGAGTAAGGGCCAGAAGCTGATGAGTTACCCGAGTGCCCAGGGATCAGGGCTCTTCTGTCTTAACAAGTATCTGTGGGCATAGATGGGAAGCTGTGGGGCCACTGGGACTGTGATGGTTAGTTTTGTGTGTGAACTTGGCTGGGCCACAGGACCCAGATATTTGGTCAAACATTATTCTAGATGCTTCTGTGAAGGTATTTTTTTACACGAGATTGGCATTTAAATCAGTAGACTTCGGGAAAACAGATTCCCCTCCAGAATGTGGGTGGGCCTCATCTAATCAGTTGAAAGCCTCAAGAGTAAAACACTGGCTTCCTGGAAGAAGTGAGAATTCTGCCAGCAGACACCCCCGCCTCTGCTTTGGGCTCAAACCGTAACTATTCCCTGGGTCCCCGCCCACCTGCAGATTTTGGGCTGGCCAAACGTCCACAGTCATGTGAGTAGTCTGGGCTGAATTGTATTACCCACCCCAAATTCATGTTGAAACCCTAACCCCCAGTGCCTCAGAATGCATATCCGGAGTAGGGCCTTTAAAGAGGTGATTCAGGTTAAATGAGGTTGTTAATGTGGGCCCTAATCCAATAGAGTTGGTGTCCGTGTAAGAGGAGGAATTCGGACAGAGATATGGACATGCGCAGAGGGAAGGCCACGTGAGGATGCAGGGACCAGTCAGCCAGCTGTGGGCCAAGGACAGAGGCCTCAGAAGAAACCAACCCTGCTGACACCTTGATTTCAGACTTCCAGCCTCCAGAGCAGTGAGAAAAGGCATTTCTGTTTAAGTCTAGGAGTCTGTGGTGTTTTGTTACGGCGGCCCTAGCTGATGAATACAAGGACAGTGGATTATAATCTCCTTGAACCCTAGGGCCATGCATGAAACCTCTCCCCCAGCTCGGTGCCTTACACATGGTGTGTGCTGACGAAGTGTTGTGTTGACTGGGTCTGAGACATCGGTTCTGGGCTTCCCTCCAGCAGTGATGTGGTGCAGGGGAAGAGGCGCTCAAGGGAGACAGTGGGAACTAGAGCTTCAGGACACGGATGAGGTGTGAATCTTGCATTCTGCTCTGTACAAGGTTGACCTTGGGAATCAAGTCAAGCGAAGAATGATCTGTGATGGACGTATTTTGTATTCTCTGGTGTGCCTAACATAACATCTAGGACTTAACTGACACTCAGTAAACATTTTGAATGGCTGACTGAATGACCAAGACAGACCTGGGGGGGGAAGTGATCTTTCACTTAAAAAAACAACCCTCAAAACACACATGTATGTAATGTACCTAGAAAGGCTCTGAAAGAGATTGCTAATGGTGCTCACTCTGGGGGAGCGACCTAGAATAAGAAGGCAGGCTTCCTTTTCACTGTATACCCTGAGATGTCTGGGCATTTTCATCATGAATGCCTAATCCTGCGTCATTCAGTACCTCCTCCGGTGTGAGTACCTGCACTGAAGGCCAAGAGGCAACAAGCGGTGAGGAGCTTTTCAACCCACGTGCCTCCCTCCCCCACGGCCCACAAAACCCTCTAGCCTGCCCCAAGTGCCTAGAGAGCAGCAGCCTCCGGTGCTCACGAGCTGCCCCACAGTGCCCAGAGGGAGCACAGGGTGACGGTATAGAGGCCCAGCAGGATGGCGTAGGCTTGAAAGAGCAGTCGGTCTAAACGTTCCAGGAGGGCCAGCCACTTAACCCCCTTCCGGTCCGCCTGCTCCCAGGTTTGGAAGTAGGTGCTGATGGACTTAAGCTGGAACCAGACTTCCTTCAGGCTCCCTGGCTGGACCTGGGGCTCTCGACAGATGGGGGGCTCTGCATGAGAGAGGAAAACATCCTGGGTGAGCTGGGGGCTCCTGAGGACCCCTGGGCTTCCTACTGGAGGCGATGGCCTCGTCCTACAAGGAAGATTTGTAGGCAAAACAGGGCAGTGGATTGGGTTGGGCTTGGGGGGAGGCAGGGCTGTGCTCAAGGAAGCTCTGCAGAATGTGGCACAGCTGGGTCGTGTAGGACGGCTGTCTAGGTTAGAGCCACCAGATTTTCTGAGCTGAGGGCCAGCCCCACTAACTCCGTTGGAGCTTTAGGGGCTGGGATGATTATTTTTGTTTAATTGTGATATGATTTACATATAACATTATATTATATGTCTCATGTGTACAGCATATATATATATATGATCACCAGAGTAAGTCTGGTTAACCTCCACCACCGAATGATCACCAGAGTAAGTCTGGTTAACCTCCACCACCACACAGTTACACATTGTTTTCTTGTGATGAGAATTTTTAGGATATACTCTCTTTGGCAACTTTCAAGTATACAGTAAAAATACAGAACGCTTCACAAATTTGCCTCTCATCCTTGAGCAGGGGCCATGCTAACCTCTGTATTGTTCCAATTTTAGTATATGTGTTGCCAAGGCGAGCACTGGGATAATTCATACACTTGTTCACATTAAGCAACAGGAACCCAAATACATACAAGCAAGTGTGCACACACACCAGCACTCTATTTTCCCAGAGTCAATCGCTTAGTCACTTCAGCTAACTGGCTAAAATTGGAAAATACAAACAAAAATAAGCAAAGTCAACTGAGGGCCTGACCTCTAAGCTAAAGTGAGGCTTCCTGGAAAGTCAGCAGGTCTCCAGAGAGGTAATATCAAATGCAGCACAGAGGCTAAGAAGCAAGTGTTTCAAATTTTTTGCACAGCTGGACTCACGGCCTGGTGCTCCACCCATGGGAACTGGTGCAGAGAGTGATCAGGCAAGACAGGGTGGGGACCTCGAGGCTTCTCACAAACCTGGTACCCCAGCAAGCTGGGCTCTGGGATCCATTCTAGGCCCATCAGCATCAGTGTCCCCTCGAAGGCACAAGAGGGGCCACTCCTGCCCATGGCTCCACTCATCATGGAGGAATCTGACCAGCAGGATGGACTTAAATAAGCTGATAACCAGGAAGGCCATGCAGACCGTGAAGAAGACTCCTGAGGGAAGGAACCAGAGGAGGTGTACTTAGCCACAGTGTCTGGGGCCTCTCCCTCCCCTGATCTGAAATGCAACATCAGATCTGTGACAGGAGTCATGGAAGATGGGTGTCTGGTGTCCCCAAGGCTGCTTACCAATCAGAGGGGTGCTCAGTGCGCTCCTTGGCATCTCGTCGGACATGTTGACCCTGAAGACGGTGTAGCCCACCAGCACGCTGGTCTTGAACACAATCCTGGCACGGCAGGTGGGTGGTAGGTAGAAGCTCCCCAGATCCACAAGCATTAGGAAGATGCTGGGAATCAGCAGGTTCACAACATAGACCAGCGGACGCCTGCGAATCACCACCTGACCAGGGACAAGGGGTCTACTGAAAAGAGGGTCTGCCCTGAAGGACTAGAACCCATAGCCAAGAACACTCCCTGACTTCCCAACACTTTTGCATAGTGTGAGAAGACTATGCAGTTTAGAAAAAGGAGATTATTTTGTGGTTTGGAAAAGAGGAAAAAAAAAACCCTTTAAGCTTTTATGTGGAACTAAATTACTAATTATAATAAGAAGTGTCTATTTATTTGCCGCTTGCTGTATGCCAGGCATTAGCCTAAGTGTCTTCTGTGCCCTGTCCTGCTCAATCCTCACACCCATTTGAAGGGATGGTCATTATTACCTCCATTCTACAGACAAAGAAACTGAGGTTCACACAGATTGAGCTGCTTGTTCAAACTCACACAGCTGGCAAGTGAGAAACTGTTTTAAATCGAGGTCTTACACCAAAATCTTTCTTCTTACATCACTGTGGAATGTGAGCATCTGTGGAATGTGAGCGTCTCAGCGCCTGTGTGTCTGTGAGTCTGGGCACGACCAAATGGCACCCCTGGGACCTCTGAGGAGGGGTTGGCAAAGAGACGGCTGACAAGGTATGGGCAGGCCCAGGGCAGTGCCCCAGGTATCTGGGATGGCTGGGTGAGCTGTCCTTACCCTGGGTCCTGAAGGGGCCTTGGGCTGGGAATGTGACTGAAGTCTGAGGAGAGAAGGCTGGGTGGAGGTGGCCACCACGCAGGAGCTGTGGCTCCCTCCTCCCTCTTCGGGGCACAGCCAGCCTGGTGCCGGTTCCACAGGGAGAAAAATGGACAGATAAGCATCTGACTCACTCATCTCCTCTCTCCACCCTCCTGCCGTTCCATCCCCTCTTCCCATCGGTCAGTGAGGCCATGGCTCATCTCCAGGAGCACAGAACAGGTGGAGAAGTGGATCTAGGTGGGGGGGCAGCCAAAGATGCCCAGCAGGATGGCCGGGCATACAGAGCTGCTGAACGGGTTTTGTAGCTGGGAATTGGAGACTCAAAAAGTTGCTCTGTCATTGCCATTTTTGTACACCTCTCTTGTCTGGGATGGTGATAGGAAGTGTCTTTAATAAACACAAACTATTTTCATCAGAATGACAGGATTGTAGGGCGCCTGGGTGGCTCAGTCGTTAAGCATCTGCCTTCAGCTCAGGTCATGGTCCCGGGGTCCTGGGATCGAGCCCCGCATCGGGCTCCCTGCTCGGCAGGGAGTCTGCTTCTCCCTCTCCCACTCCCCCCTGCTTGTGTTCCCTCTCTCGCTGTGTCTCTCTCTCTGTCAAATAAATAAATAAAATCTTTAAAAAAAATATTCCTCATGGGGCCAAAAATAATAGCTATCTTATTCATGTTTACTGAACAAATGAATGTCCTGAGGCCTTCACTGTTGGATCTGGGCACAAAATATGTCTGAAGTCTCCCATTTCTCTGATCCACCAAACAATTGAATGCTTTCTATGTGTCAGATAACGTGTGAGATGCTTTTACACATATGATGTGGTTTATTTAATTCTCACTGTGAGCTTGTTGGCAGGTAACAGAACACCCCCACTCTAGACTTTTAAAAACAAAGCTCGGCTCCTGAAGTAAGTTGAGTAAGTGGCAGAGCTGGGCTGTGCCCCACATCTGGTTCCAAGCCCTGTGTCTCTTCCACCACAGCGTAGCTACAACTCTTGGTCTGAGCAGACATCTGAGCTGAGTTCAGGGTTCTTCTTCCTCATCTCTGTCTGCAAGGCAAGCACACAGAAGGAGCCCAGGCACAGGCCAGGGATGGAGGAAGAGGTGATGGGGAAGAGCTTGGCTGGGTGAGACCAGACATCTACCACCTTGCAGAAGCAAATGGGGCCCCCCAGCTTTTGGGTCCGGGAGCGTATCCCAACCCAGTGGAGCTTCGGAGGCCAGAGCCAATTGGAGGACTGTAGTCTGGCTATTATCTTTCCATTAAGCATAATTGTCTGCAAATATCTAAACGAGGGCAACACTTATGCTTTGTAATAATTTGGTTAAAACACATTTCTACCACAGCGTAGTCAACAAGAAAAACAACAACCAAACGGACTGTCGTCACTCTGGGCCTCTCAGGCTGTCTTGGTCATACCGTGACAGAGATGGCTGTGGTTAGCTGGGGATGGGAGGAAGGGAGCCGAATGGTTGGAGTCCACAGGGGTCTTGGATGGTATGCCCGGCCTGGGCTATGTGGGGTGGGGGTGGGGGGTGATCAGCCTGCTGTCTCTGGAAGGGAGAATGGGAAGACTCCCTTAGAGACTTCATGGCAGGTATGAAATGAAGAGGATGAAAAGCGTAAGAACACCACCCTAAAGAAAGTCCAAGTAGGCAGGGTGGTTAAGCAGAAACAGACCAGACTTAGAGTCAAGGGACTCGAGCTCCAGGGCCCCTCAATTCTAAGTGCCCACGTGTGCTAGTTTAAGTGATCCTGGCTGCATGCCTTGATTTTCCTTTTTCAAAAAAGCACTTTACTGGGGAGCCTGGATGGTGTAGTCAGTTGAGCGTCTAACTCTTGGTTTTGGCTCAGGTCTTGATCTCAGGGTCGTGGAATCAGGCCCCACGTCAGGCTCTATGCTGGGCATGGGGTCTGCTGGGGATTCTCTCTCTTCCTCTCCCTCTGCCCCTCCACTCTCTCGCCCTCAAAATAAATAAATAAACCTTTTAAAAAAACTAAAAAATAAATAAATTAAAAAGCACCTTACTTTTGCTTGCTGAGCATCTTGGCTACGACTGAGATTGGCTGTTGTATCTAAATAACGTTCCCGTGTCACTAGCACATGCTTAGGTGTCCCGTGTCACTAGCACATGCTTAGGTGATTCCTCTCCACCCAGAGGCTGATGCAGAGAGTGAACATAACCCTGGGCCAGAACCAAAGACGGCTCCCCAGTTTTATCAGACCACATGCTCCCCAAGGTGACAGGGGAGAGGTGTGACAAGAGCCAAGAGGCTGGGAGGCAGGCTGGCTTCGTGGGCATACAGCTTGGGAAGTTACACAGGGCCCGGCGCTTAGAAGGGCCTGGCGCTTGATTTTAGGGTCTGCTGGTGCCATTTGGAAACTCGTAATTTTTGAACAGGGAGCCCCACATTTTCCCTTTGTCCCTGGCCTCACCAACCAGGTAGCCAGTCCTGTCAGGAGGATATTTGTCCCTGGATATCAACAGTAGCTGAAAGTAGAAGGGAAACATGTAGCTCCAAGGTAGGCAATTAGCTCTGCTGTCACATAAAGCAGAAATCTCCACTGCCTATGTTTGGCTTATACAATTCTACAGCTAGATAGGCCCTCTCTTTGGTTTTCTTCAAGAAAAAAGGACCTCCCTTTTTATTTAGGAGCAATATTGATTTCGGAGCAATATTACTTATGGACTAGACTAATTTTCTCTACAAGTCCAGTGCGGCCTAAAGAAATTCTAAATTTTATCACATAGCTTTCAGAAATGGTTTGTTTTCGTATCTCGTTTGATCCTCAAATCCCTTCATTCTCTTGTTTAAGGAATGTTAATTGAGCATGAACAGAACGTCAGGCACTTTTTAAAAATAATGGAATTAGAACAGTTAATAGGATAGGTTTCTGCCCCTCTCCACCCCATGAAATCAGCAACTGGACTCTGGTGGTTGGATGTTTTAGAGTCTACACGTAGAAAGGAAGTTTGCTCCAGAACGGACCATACCCAGAGTCTGTACCTGATTTAGATGATGAGATTTGGGACCTTCTGAGTTTATATTTAGATTGTATTTTGGTCTCAGAGTTGGTGCCGAAATGAGTTAAGATATTTAGGGATGTTGGGATAGGGTGAATGCGCTTTGCACATGTGATGGACATGAATTTTGGGGAGCCAGAGGGCCAGAGGGCAGTGCACTGTAATGGGCTGAGTAACGGCCCAAGAATTATGTCCTTCCTGAAAGCGAAGAATGTGACTTATTTGGAAATGGGATCACCGCAGATATAATTAATTGGTTCAGATGAGGTCTTACTTCGGTAGGGTGGGCCCTTATCCCAATAGAACTGGTGTCCTTATGAGAAGAAGAGAAGAGATACATAAAGGAGAATGCCATGTGAGGATGGAGGCAGAGATTGGAGTGATACATTTACAAGCCAAGGATTGCTGGCAGCCACCAAAAGCTAGGAGGGAGGCATGGAACAGATTCTCCTTCGGAGTTCCCAGAAGGACCTAATCATGCTGACACCCTGATTTTTAGCCTCCAGAACTGTGAGAGAATAAATTTATTCCTGTTGTTTTAAGCCACTGGTTTGTGGTCCTTTGTTACGGAAGCCCTAGGAAAACAAATACAGTTGACTTGCCCAGTAACACACAGTAGATGAATGCCAAAGAATGCACTGGAATATGCCACCTTGTGTGGTAGTTGTGAGCTACATATAGGATTAGCACGTAGCTTCTGGAGTCAGACTGTCTGGGTTCAAGTCCGGGCGCCACAGTCACCCTGTCCCCTCAGGCCGGTTACTTAGACTTGGGTGAGTTAACTTCTCTGTACCCCCAATTCATCCGTTTGGGTGAGTTGCACTCAGAACACCAATTGCATAGACATGTGAGGTTTACACGTACAAACTCTTAAATGGTGTCTGGTGTCGAGTAAATGCTCAGTTTTGTGGTTATTGTTACAGTGTCTCCCTGGGCCACATTTGAGGTCCATGCCGGATACCAGGAGCCCTCTTTTACTCATGCTTGTGTCCTCAGTGGGGCCACCGTGACGGGCACACGATAAGAGCTCAAAAGCTGTTCGCTGAGTTGTACTGGAGTCTATGAGTAATGTTACTTTTAGTTCCAAATAAGGTAGGAGTGTGGAGTTAGCACCAACGGGGGCTCTCCTGGTGAGGTCAGTCCTCTGAGGGCCACCTCTCTGCAGGTCATGCTGGAGACAGTAACTGACGGCTGATGGTATGTCACCAGCTCAGTGAGACACCGTTCTCCGTGGAATTGGCCCTACCGAGAGCCCATCATTTCTAATGGACTAAAGGAGCTGGTGCCTTTAAATTCCAGAGAAAGGGAAGAAAAAGCACTTTAGTTTCAGTCCGTGTTCTTCATTAGACACCCTTCAGGTGTTAGCAATATTATGCCACAATTTCATTATCCATTAAAGCCAGGTAATAATAAGTACACAAAGGTATTTGGAGCCTATTGATGTTAATGAAAGAGATCAATCTAATTCAGAATGTGTGTGTGGAGAGCTCCTTGGAGATGGAATAGGCCCCAAGGTTAGCCTCTAATTGCCTCCTTGATGGTAGACCCCACCAGTACTCAATTTTGCATGACCGTCTTTATGACATAGTTGGAATTTTTGACGCCCAGACTCACGCTTCATACAGAAGCCCATCTTCCTCCTCTCGCAAGCCCCTCCCAACATTCCCAGTTCAGAAAGAATGGGAAAGTCATTGCCATCTAAGTAAGATTCTTGCACAGGAGTGAGAGTTTCTTGGATCTGGACCCTGGGTCAGGCTGGATGAGCAGAAAGTCTATGATTCCAGGGATAATTGAGGGACCCTGGAAAGACTTCTAGGACTCTAAATTCTCTTCTCCCTCTTGATCTGGTGGAGCTCAGAAAGATCTTCTGTCAAGTTTATGAGCTGCATTCAATGGATATCTCAACAAAACTACTCTACCCTAATCTAGAAAGGAAAACTATGTCAGAGAAAGAGGATAGATGAGGCACCCTTCTTTCTCAAATGGCCCTCTGCATTTTCTTTTTTTTTTTTTTTAAATGTTTTATTTATTTATTCATGAAAGTCAGAGAGAGAGAGAGAGAGGCAGAGGCAGAGGGAGAAGCAGGCTCCCCGCCTAGCAGGGAGCCTGATGCGGGACTCGATCCCAGGACCCTGGGATCATGACCCGACCCGAAGGCAGACGCTTAACCATCTGAGCCACCCAGGCGCCCGGCCCTCTGCATTTTCCCAGGAGTCCCCTGGACGGCCGGCCACCACCTCCTGCCTGCATGGACATCTCGCTCCGCATGAGGATATCTGAGGGTTGGGCTCACTTTAGCTCCTACAGCTGTCCACCCTCTTCGATTAAAATGAATTCTCACATTTTATTCCTACCACCTCCCACTTCTACCCTCATTCTTAAAAAACCCAAAAAACAAAAAGCTGCCGTATAGAAATCAAATGCTCACCCTGCTGTTTCTGGGAACCAGCACCTCCGATAATGTAGTGGAGGTAAGCTCCCTTCCTAAGGCTGCTGGATCGGGAGCCAGGCTGTGGCACACAGACATCCCTGTAGGCAGAAGGGCCTGTGCTCTGGGCCCCCTGCGGAATGCAGCCTGACTCCAGAGTGTTAGCAGTGCCCTCTGATAAACAATACGTGTCCCGGAGCCAGCAGATCTGATTGCCCATTAGCCAGAACCAACAAGGCATCCTGAGCATTTGCTTTAGTATCAATGGCAACATTGTACATCAGGCCCAGAGTGGCAACATGTTTAGAACAGATCATTTTTCCTCCTGCCTGCCTGGACTTGTCTCCAACCCCCTGCTGGGCAGCCTGGACAGGGCTACAGCACATGATTAGATTAAGAGGGGGATGGCCCTTTGCTGTCAGGACCCTAGTAGTGGAGTGGTTGGCATGGAACCGGGCTCTGAATTTCACATCATTGCCCAAGGGCTACTGAAGGACACCAGGACACCTCAGTTGCTAACTTCAGAGCAGGATGACTGATACAGAGTAAGAGAACAGAAGCCTAGCCGCGGTACACCTAGCAGGGGGGTTGGGGGAGGCACAGGGGCCGCCAGATGTCGAGGAGACAGAGAACTGGGATAGTCACTGAATCGGCTTTAAGTGTGTTCAGAGTTGTAGAACCGCGGCTGAGTCTGGCTCCCTGCCCTGTGAAACATGATCAATGACTGTACTCGGGGTTCTTTCCTCCTCTGTTCCAGAGGGCCAGGGGGGAAGCCAGCCCTGCAAAGGGACCAGGGAAAAGCTCCAAAAGCATGAAATCCTACCGATGCCCACCTCTAGCCTGCCTCCATGCACACACTGTAAATGGAGAAGCATGGCAGTGAACAGAGCGGAGGAGTGGGGTCGTTGCTTCTGAGACGCGGGGAAGCTTCTCCTTTCCTTAAACAATCTTTTACATCTCTGTCCATTATATTTAAAATGGAGCTACCACATAGAAAACCTCTTGCAACTATTGAGAAGACAAATTAATATTCAAGTTAAGGGGTGACATGTAACTGCTTTATGGAAAGTGTGTGTGTGTGTGTGTGTGTGTGTGTGTGTACACGCGTGCACTCCTGTTTATCTGCCCTGTCTCTTGCCTTTGTTCGTCTCCTTCGTGCAGTGTAGGTAATGGTGTGTGCAGCATTCTCCAGAGTGCTTGGTGGGTGACTGTGTTCCACCTTGCACGTGCTACCCCCTCACATTTCCCTTTAATGCTCTCCATTATTCGGGCTGCATTAATAATGTTTGTGGGCTGATATCTTTAAAATTAATGAGGTGTTTACTCTTAGCCAAGAAACTCATTGAAATTAAAAAAGCTTTCTTTTCTTCCCCTCCTTTTCTCTTGCTTAAAAAAAGGTGGACAAACAAGCCACAGTGCTAGCTTTGCTAAAAACCAAGCAGAACAGGGAAACACCCAAACCCCACCACTAGGAAGGTATGAGTTGCGAATAGTTAGTTATACATGTGTCAGTTTCAAACCACAGCTATTTCTAGGAGCCCCTAATTTAACCAGAGCTTTGCTAGAAAGCGACATAGAACACCTACAAACAATGGAGGGGCATCTGTGACCTCGATAATAGCTTATTTCAATACCACCCTCTCTTAGCATATAATTATCCAGCATAACCATAGTACCTAGTCTAGTCTGAATTTTCCTTCTTACTCAAAAGGTTTGTTTCCAGCAGAATTCATCTTGTGTTTAATGCTGACCTGTCTGTAGTCTCTAGTTTTCAATCAGAAACATTATCTGGCATGAAGGACTCCACCCCACCCAACTACCACTACCACTAGCTGACTTGGTGCAGAAAAGCAGAAATGAATACTCATCATGGGTCTACCAGTTGCAAGAACTTGGGGCAAACCACTTATCGGGACGACTTGCCAGAAAGGCCAGGGAAGGCAGAATGGCTCCCTCTGGAGTGTAAACCAGCAGGCTGCACTGTCCTGCATCCACCTTCCAAGCTCCTGCGGAACACATTTCCCCATGACAGTGCAGCCAGGAGCATCCCTGGTGGTGCATCTGAGAAGTCTGGGTTCTCACTGAGTTGTTTTAGAGCAGTTCTCTCTGATCCAGAAACCACCAGTGGGCTCCAAGGGTCCTGCAGGTGATTTGTTCGCTAATTGCTCAAGATAGTCAAGTGAATAATGATAATTTTATACATTTGTATCTGGAATTAATAATTGACTCACTTAAAAACAGGACAATAATTTTGAAGAGACACTTCTCCCAACTTTTTGTTGTTGTCGTATGTGGGTTTTCTTTTTTTGCCCTCTCGGTAGCAATTAGGAGTGAGGATGTTAGCATGTACAGGAAGGCTTGAGGACACCTGCTATGGCGGGTGGTTCAGGTGTCTGAAAACCATTCTTTTTATACCCACATAGGGGCTATGTACAGCAAGAGTCCAGGACCTGTGACTGAATCTCTGGTCTGTGAAATGCCGTCATGCAAGGGGATGTCCAGAGCCACCAGAGTCATCTGTTCTTGGATGATAACAAGTGACAACATGCAACAGAGCAGAGAACTCGTCAGCCCAACACAGAAGGCCCGGGACTGCAGAGAAGTGGGGCAGCAAGGGCAGGGAGGAGAAGGACCTACATTAAACTGAATCTGGGCAAAATCTCCAGCGCCGCTCTGCAGGATGCTGTATGTTGAGGACACAGAGAGAAGTTCCCACTCACTGTCGTTCAAAAATTCCTTCTTGTCATGCTTAATGTCTTCTCTGCTCCTCAGGAAGGCCAGGTCGACATCTTGCACTGAAAACAACAGAAACAAGTGACTTCCCCACAGAGGGAGGCCTCGATAATAACCCACTTTTCCAGCTTCCAGTCCTTCCTTTTACTCCTGCCTGCCTCCACATGTACAATCTCACTGAGATAGGGTTCAATATAACCATTTTGAATTAGGGATAGAGATGTGGAATAAAATCTTTCTAGCAGCAAAAACAAAAACAAAAACAAAAACAACACCCAGTTGTGAATTTACGGTTTGTATTCCATTATCCGTAGAATGCTGGCCCCGGTCCTATGACTTCTATAACCTTCTCAGTGGCAGCCGAGGCCGAATATTGTATTCCTAAACCAACAGCAGCAATGAGCTGGGCACAACACTATACTTAGTTTGATTACAACAGGAGCCAAATAGCTATAAGAAGAGATTTAGATTTGTAAAGAGTCAATTATGTGCAAGAATAAAATGCACCTGATGGATGGCACGACAGAATCTCACCTATGTGTGCCAACCCAGCACAAATGTGTCTCCCGCTAGCAGACTATGCGTCTTGCGATTTACCTGTGTGCAGGACACTACTGAAGGTCAGGCTGCAGTTCTGGATGTCAAATGGAAACGCGTAGGTCTCTAAACCGCATGTAGAAACAACCTGGATAGGCTTAGAGTTCTTAATGGTCCCAGATGAGTTCACATAGACATACGGAAGGTCGGGTGATCCTTCAATTTCCACACTATGGAAACACAAGAGACCTCGCTGTCACAGAGAGGGCCTTCATCATTTCAATCCACAAACAGAACTGATTATGAGACGGTAGTGACCATGATACCCAGGACTTGCCTAGAAGTGCAAATACAGAATCACATTTCCCAATGACATAATTCAGATGGATTCAGTAATCACAGTCTCAAAAGTTAATTCACTTGCTACTCTTGTAACACGGACATAATCCATGAGTAACCTCAAGCATTTGTAATCAAATCCGTATCTTAAATGATGTCAAATCATGGCACTTCTAACTTGAATATTCCCAAATCCTTATCAAGCTATTTTGATCCTTATCAAAATAGTAACAATGACCAAAAGTAAGAACAACTGGCCTGAATAGTCCAAGCAGTTTTAAACCCCATGGAAATACACACCAGCACACTTACAACTCATTAATGATGATGTCAGGGGCCCAGATGGCACTTAGAGGTAGAGAGATCTCTCTAATCTCATCAAACATGCTGGGGTTCCAGGATAAAAACTCATCAACCCAAACCTGTTAGGAGTAGCCAGAAAAGAAATTTATCAAAAAGGGACAATGTCAGTCTCACCAAAGAACTGAAGAGGGATTTGGATGAATAACCCAACTGATCTGTTTGTTGGCACTGTTAGGGGAGAGGACTTTCCTTCCAGCTCCTAAAGATGGTGCCCCAACCAGAAACCAGGACTGTATATCTTACATAGATTCTAATAAATTAGGTCTGCTGCAGATCTAAGAAGCTAAGTTGCAAACACAAAGAAATTGTCTATTCCTTAGAATAATTACATTTTGCAACTGATTTAAGATCAAGAGTCCAGCATGCACAGAAGGAAACATCATTTACCTCATGGTACCATATACTTGTCTTTAATTTTTGGTTCTGTGCATCCTGCAAAGCAAAAAGAAAATCTGTACCAAATCTTAGAACGTCAATAAATCAAAATCCAATTCAATACTATGATAATTCAGAGAAAAAAATCAAATCTAACTACAAATGCTGATTTTAAAAGCATTGCCTTGACTCTTCAAATCTGAGTATTCTCGGTTCCTATTTATTACTCATGTCTGGCACTATGAACTTTACTATAGTATCTATGACAAAATGGCACTATGACTACACCTGACATCTTGACTGATTTGCTAATCCCTTTCCTACCCTAATTAGTTACTCTGCCATTAATCAAACTAAAAAATGACATGTAGCCTTAGCCAATTCTGGGATAAAAAGATGGGACCAAGCTTTTATTTTATTTTTTTAAAGATTTTATTTATTTATTTATTTGACAGAAAGAGAGAGACACAGCGAGAGAGGAAACACAAGCAGGGGGTGGGGTTGGGAGAGGGAGAAGCAGGCTTCCCGTGGAGCAGGGAGCCCGATGTGGGGCTTGATCCCAGGATCCCGGGATCATTACCTGAGCCAAAGGCAGACGTTTAATCAACTGAGCCACCCAGGTGCCCCACCAAGCTTTCATTTGTAATCAAGATATTATTCATAGTATTTCAAAGAGTGTTCTCTCAACTGCTCTTGGCAGCCATTCCTGTTAAGTTACCTTATGTTTGGATTTCTCTGCTTATCAAACAGACTGAATAAGCTTAATGTAAATGAAGTGTATTTTTGATGATATAAACAGACGCGATTTCCCCATGTCTGCAATGAGTGAGTAATTTTTTTAAAAGACCCCTAGGAATAACAAACAAAAAAGGAACCCCCTCCTTACTAATTTTTTCGTATCTCCTCTAGTAAAGAGCATTCTGAAACTACTATCTTCGTAGGAATTGAAAGGAATATCTCACACCCTATACAAACGTTAACTCATTAACTCAAAATGGACCATAAACCTAAATGTAAGAGTTGAAACTGTAAAACTCTTAGAAGAAAACATAGGAGGGGTGCCTGGGTGGCTCAGTCAGTTGGGCAGCTGACTCTTGGTTTCGGCTCAGGTCATGATCTCGGGGTCCTGGGACAGAGCCCTGTGCCAGGCTCTGCACTCAGTAGGGAGTCTGTTTGAGATTCTCTCCCTCTTCCTCTGCCCCTCCCCCCGCTCGTGTGTGCACACTCTCTCTGTCTCAAATAAATAAATAAATAAATCTTTTTTTTATAAAAGGAAGAAAACAAAGTAAATCTTCATGACTTTGAATTAGGCAATTGTCTCTTAGATATGACACCATAACCACCGGCAACCAAAGAAAAAGTAAATGGAACTTCATCAAAATGAAAAACTTTGTGCTTTAAAGGACACCATCAAGAAGTAAAAAAACAACCCACAGAATGGAAATAATATCTGCAGATCATTTATCTGATAAGGAGTTAATATCCAGAATAAAGAATTTCTACAAATTAAAACAAAACAATGACCCTATTTCAAAATGGATATCTCTCCAAAGTGGATATACAAATGGATAATAAGCACATGAAAAGATGCTCAACATCACTGCTATAGACCAAATTATGTCCTTCCAAAATTCATATATGACTAAATTTAGACTTTGAAGGACTTTGAAGAGGTCACTAAGGTTAAATGAGGGCACCATCTACTAGGATTGATGGCCTTAGAAGAAGAGGAAGGGAGAATGATGTCTCTCTCTTCCATATGGGTATACAGGAAGAAATCAGCCATCTGCATGCCAGGAAGAGAGCTCTCACCAGGAATCTAATTGCCTAGAACTTTGATCTTGGACTTGCCAGCCTCTAGAACTGTGAGAAATAGAGTCTATGGTATTTGTTATGGCAGTCCAAGCTGGCTAATGCAATCACTAATCATTAGGGAAATGCAAATCAAAACCACAGTGAAATACCACTTCACTCTCATTAAGATGGCTACTAAAACAAAACAAAACAAAATCAAACAAAAGCAGAAAATAAGTGTGGGTGAAGATGTAAAGAAATTGAAATCCTTGTGCACTACTGGTAGGAATATAAAATGGTACAGCTGCTATGGAAAACAGTGGCAGTTCCTAAAAACTTAAAAATAGAATTACCATATGGTCTAGCAATTCCATTCTTTGGTATAAATCCAAAAGAACTGAAAGCAGAGACTCAGTTATTTGTACACCCATGTTCAGAGCACCATTATTCACAATAGCCAAGGGGTGGAAGCAACCCAAGTGTCCATCAAAGATGAATACATAAGCAAAATGTAGTATATACATACAACGTAATATTATGCAGCCTTAAAAGGGAAAGAAATTCTGACACATGCTACAACATGAATGAACCTTGAGGTGACACCACTTCCTTCCAAGTTTTACCAGCTGAGAGATTCTGAAATAGATAATGTTTTTAAAATCAGCATTTTTTAGTTAGATTTGATTTTCTTCCTCTGAACTGTCATGCTGTTGAACTGGGCTTTGATTTACTGACAATGTAAGATGTGGTGTCTGTCTCCCCGACTAAAGCACAAAGGGCTCGATTCTAGGCTTAGCTGCCATCGATGAGGGTTCCCCACAAATGGGGGGGGAAACCAGGTTCAAAATGCCATTTGTATTACTGGAAAACATAGCTTGTAACTACAACAAATATACTTTTACATCTGTGAAATGTCCTGATCAGTTTTTTTGGTGTGTTTTTTTTTTAATCTCTATCACGTCAAGTTGTGAATGCGTCACTGACTCAGTCATGGCGGGAGAGACTATTATTTTACCCAGTTGATTCGTATTAACTGCCATGTTGATGCCTTAGCTCGTTTTTCTCTTCCTGCCCATTGCTTTGTCATGTTACATGTAACAAGTGTTAAGAATTTTTTTCTAATGTATTAGGGGGTTTCTGGGAGGATTTGTCATTCAGCCCTAAAGAACACAATGTCAAAAAGGAGTTTGAGGCTAAAACTGAAATCTCTCTCTCTTTTTTTTTTTTTTTGTCAAAGGAAACAAGTTTTTCAATGCCAGCTGGTGAACATAATTGGTTCTCTGGTGGCATTATTCACAGCTTTTCCCTCTGTGTATCTCTCCCTCTCTCTTTTTTCTTTAGATACCTTCCATCTTGCTTGTTAAAAGCAAAGGATATTTCAGAGAATTGGAATTCATTAGTCTTCCTAACAGAGGGAGTCTATTTAGATCTAAATTGGTGGTTAGCAAATATACAGATAATTCCCGCACATTCTTATTTATCTTTCCCAGTTCTGAAGACTATAGAAACAGATGCCTCAACGTCTGGCTGGGAGGCTCTAGTCAATGGACTGGAATACAAAGGTATCTGGGATTCGGAATTGACAAAATTCAACAGAAACAAACTGAAACTCTTCACTGTTGAGTAGACTATCTCTATAATCAGATTTCCCTAAGGTACTCATAATACCCAGAAATTCTAAGACAAGACTGTAGTCTTTCATATAAACAAAACAGGAGGCAAAACATTATAATGGAAGCAAGGTGCCGTGGTGAAAGCAGGGCTGAAAGCTCCTCCCTCCAGAAAAAAGTTGCTGGCAGATGCACCCAATAAGTTATCTGTTCACACAGGGGGTACCCTTGTCCCGTTCTGTGCACGATTTCATCAAGTCCTTCAAAACCGACCCTGCCTCCGCAACGAACTTTGGGCTTAGCCCTGCTGAATGTACTAGAGACATTTGCAAGGCATATTAGACTATCCTAATCAATTAATTGCTTGACAGATATTTAGCCAGTGTCTTTGAAGTAAGATACGCTGTGCTGCACATTCTGGGAAATATGAACATGAGTAAGCAAGCCCTTCCCTCAAGCAGCTTATTAATAAATTAGGGTATGGGACATTTTAACAAATAACTCTGTGTGTTAAGAAATATACAGACTTCAGTGGATTTAAAGAAAGGAGTCATGGTTGTCAGCTTGCAGACTTGAGGGAAATCTCTTTTGGGAACTGAGATTTGAAGGACTGTAATATTTTGCAGATGGAGAATGAAGACAAAGACATTCAGTGGAGGAAACAGCATACAGGGAGGAGACAACAAGGGGTTGGTTTCATTGTAGTATTGAGGGGATAAGGCTAAGGCAGTAGACAGGGATAAAACTAGAGGGATGGAATTTGAGATTTTTCCAGATTTCTGAAGGAAAGTCTGCCAAATTCAATAAGACAGTATTACCGTCTAACGTACTCTAGTAAAAAATTTGTATATTCCACGCCAGTGGAGAAAACATATCTTTGAAAAAATAATGGTGTTCTCCTTAACCACTGTAAGGAATCTGGTTTTATTCTTTTTTATCAGGATAGAAAGAAATAGATAAAAAGTTTCAATTTGATATAGTTGTTCTAAGGGAAAAATATTAACATAGAAACTTTGCTCCTTTTCTATATTTATCTCCAAATAGTCCTCGGAAAGAAAGCTTGAGCAATTCTACTTGATCTTAATCAATATGAAGTAGAAGGTGGCACAATGAGGATAGACCTGAAGGTAGTCTTATTGCCTTACTCCAAGTTGATCATATGCATGTCCTGGGATTTTGCATGACATGGCTCATAGCATGTGTCTTTATTCAAATCATGCTATTCCCATTGTACAATGTCTGATAAACAATGCAGTCATAATAACCCACTGACAACTAGCAAGGACTAATATTCCCTAAGTATGTGAAGATATAGCCCCAGGAAATTAACTCTCAAAAATTTTAGTTCAATATCCAAATACAGAGGAAATTGAAGGGAGTTCTTCTTTTGAAGCTTATGTAGGACCAGGCCTTTGGAGTAGGGGTGGATATTTCCTGGCATTTAATTAAATATTTTCTACGATCTAGTACTTTTGCGAAAACTGAGATTTTCTTGTGTATCACTTAAATGTTCCTGTTTATAAAGAAATAATGATTAGGGATTTATCTGAGCCGGAGGAAAGTGATGTTAAAATAATTTATGGGGCACCTGGGTGGCTCAGTCGGTTAAGCCGCCGGCTCTTGATTTCAGCTCGGGTCATGATCTCGGGGTGG